CTCCCTGGTTCTCTTTCCTCATGAAGTCCCCAAATTTCATGGGGGCAGTGCACATAAGGTCCCACCTCAAAACACCATTATCAGACTAGACTTCACCATCTTAATACATACATACATGCACACACACACACACACACACTTTTAAAAACTTATAAAAATTGATTTTTTTCACAAGATTTCATATTGACTTATGAATTCAGTCCAGGTCTGGCACACAATATGTACTTGGTACCGGGGTGTACTGCTGGTTCCTTTATCTTCTCTCTGTGAAGGTATTCAATTTTTCATACAATTTAATTTCAATGCAATACTCCAAAGTAGGGAAAGTAGCTACCAGGATATCACATAGCTACTTAGGTAGTAGAGGCAGCAAGATTTAAACTTTCACCTGGTTTCAAGGTCACTCAATGGAGTTTTTTCCTCCTTGACTTACCTTCCAGCTGTCAGGATCTCACAAGAGTAGAAACACTGTGACTGCAGCCCACAGGAATTGAAGATCTGGTTTACCCATTATTGTATAAATTCGACAAAGAAAGGAAGTCATGCCCATCTTAGTTCATAAGAGTGTAGCTTAACTTGTCCAAGATGCTACTTCCTCACATCAAGAGGACAAAACTTTCTAACTTTTCAACTAAAGTTCCTACTAGAAGACCTCTATCTATCTTACATTCATGCTCTCAAGACAAAGTATTACCACTCACAATGGGCTGGGCCCCTCTGAATCAATCACTGATAAAAAAAAAATTAAAAAAAAAAATGCCTTACAGGCTTGCCTACAACTGGGTTCTATGGAGGGATTTTTTTTATTGTCCCTCCTCTAAGATGACTTAAATTTGTGTCAGATTGACATAAAACTACCTGGCACACAGCATTATGTCCCCTCTGATGCAATAGCAATGCTCCAGGTAAGAGCTGACCTGTCTTCTGGGATCACAGTACAGGAAGAGCTGAATGGTCATATAAGGAAGGAGTATCTGTCTATCCCAACAAGCCATTACAATGTAAAACTTTCAGTCTAGCATAAGCTACTTTATTTCTTATGGTCTTACACTTCTTACTGTCTTCTGAACCAATTATAGGATATATGATGGACCAATCTTCCAGAAACAAGATAAGCTGAACCATCACAATGAACATAGAAATTAACAAAAAGGTTAGCACTATATATTGCAGTCTTAAATACTAATAAAGAGCATGGTGCTGATTAGGGAGGAACAAAATGCCTTGGTGGCCCACAATGTTCCAAGGAAAGTCACAGATGAAAAAAGGGTAAGCAGCCACCAAAAAGGTCTGTCGTATCTAGCCTGGTATGGTATTGCACACATGTAGCCCCAGCATTTGGGAGGCTGAGGCCAAAAGATTGCAAGTTGAATGCCAGCCAGGGTAAGAACAAATTCCACGACAGGCTGGGCTACAAAGAACTGTCTCGACACTTAAAAGTGCATCTGTGTGTCTGTCTGTCTGTCTGTAGCTTCACAAAGATTGAATCCTGCCCTCTAACACCTAACTAAAACTATCTTTCTGCCACCTTTAGCAAATATTTTAATTCTGCCTCCCTGAACTTTCAGATAGGACTTATCAAAATACCACAATAACCACCCCAAGGCAATGAGAGAATAAATAGACCTGTTGTCCTTGTACATTTGATCTCTTCTTTGAACTCACTCATCATCTGAATTTGGCATATTCAAAGGTTACAGGAAAACAAGAACTGACGCACACTCTTACAAAGAGCCTGACTATAGAGCCCAGTGAAATTATTTGTGAAATAAGACTTGTGATAGGGAGGAAGGTGTCTATGCAATTTTGTGTGTTTTGTTTGTTGTTGTGGGCTTTTGGTTTGGTTCTGGGCAGACTGTTTGTTTGTTTGTTTTGCTTTGTTTTTGTTTTTGAGAGAGGTTCTCATGTAGCTTAGGCTGGCCTTGAACTCACTATGTAGCCAAGGCTGGCCTTGAACTTCTGATCCTCCTGTCTCCACCTCTTAAGTACTAGGATTACAAGGATCATATCTTGGTTAAAACAAAAAGGGGGAAAAAAAAACTTCTTATGTTCCTCCTTCATTAAAGATGTCACCAATGAACAAAATGCCCTCCTTGCAAAAAGAAATATTCTAGGGTCCTTTAGAAGATAGGAAAGATTGGACAAAATCTATGAAAATTTGAAAAGTGAGTAAAATTTACATGATAAACAAGGTAAGGGTAGAAATACTAAGAACTTCGTAGCACATGAAGAAAGAAAAGGGAACAGGATATATTTTCAGGCCTGGCCATGAAACATCCACAAGAAGACCTGACAAAGACTGAAATATACACAGTCCTGCTAAATATTACAGTATCCAAACTTTAGGAGGCCACTGCCAGCCAACAGTTTTATCCTAGAAAATATGCTACAAAACGTCATCCGGCCGGAACATATGCCCTGCATATAGCCCTGCTCTAGCACTCAATCATTCCCAACTGTGGACAAACAGAGGCCAATCCTAACTATTCAGGTTACTAAATCCTTCAGGATTCTATGATAGCCCCACCTTTCCAACAGTCTCCACCCAATCATTGAACATACAACACTCATACAGGTGAACACCAGGATTCCATTTTTTAAGTTTTAAACAGCTTTCCTTTGAATTTTTTCAAACAACTACATAACTCATAGTTATGGCCTCCTGGCTCCAAACTTCCAACTTCAATTGTTTCTTACTTTTACCAAGGTATTTACCAAGGGCTTCTCCTTTAATCTCTTGTCAAAAGATTAGCTGTCACCTCAAAAAGTAACAGCCCACAAGACTAAAGCCAAGAATCAATGTTTATACCACTTTATCAATTCTTTTAAATGAGAAAGTCTACAAAAGTAACTTTTCTTTAGAAAGTGAGTTAAGTCGGGAATGGTGGTGGACACCTATAATCTCAGCAAGCCAGGGCTTAAAAAAATAAATAAAGGGCCTGGAGAGATGGCTCTGTGGGTAAGAGCACCAGCTGCAGCTCTTCCAGAGGATTCGGGTTCAATTCCCAGCATCCACACAGCAACTCACAATGGTCTGTAACTTCAGTCTGATGCCTTCTTCTGCCTGCCCTCAGACACTGTACATACATGGAGCACAGACAAATAAAAATAAATAAATATTCCTAAATAAAAAGGAAAAAGTTAGCCTTAAACTAAAGAATTCTCTGACAGAAGTAAAAACTCTGAAATTGACCCTTAATTAACTGTGCAGTAGGAGGACAAAGGGCACTTGTGAAAACTGTGTTTTTTGCTGACTGCTACTAGTTCAAAAGAAAAACACAACAACTTACCAACAACTAACGCTCCTCTTTCTGCAAAAGCCAGAGCATAAGCTCGGCCCAGTCCTAGTCAGAAACAAACAGAAAGTTGGAAAATATTAGTATAGTTATTTTAGTCCATGAAATTTGATCTCCATTTTAAAATAAGTCAACAATTAGTTACAACAGCAGATGGCATCTTCGTTGGTACTCTCAACATCCTTTCGACTCTCTTTCTGACTGTAAAAACTGGGAAAGTTAGAACCATTTTTTCCCATCTACTTCCACTACCACTCCCAAGTATCCTCCCAGGCTGCTACATGCCAGGGTGTGAAATGGAGTCCACTACTAGGTGAAATTTTAAAAGTAGAAGTGACACCGATGCCACGTTACCAGGGCTCTAGCACTTACTGCTTAATAAGCTACTTATCTTGAAACATTCTTGTATTTAAAATCATGCCTGAAGAGGTAACTTCTTGACCTGGTCTTCTAATCCCTGAATGGCAGCTTCCATACTTCAGGTCCCTAATGTCAGAGGCTATTTCGCCTATGACAGCAAGGAAGAGATCAAAACCCCACCTCAAACCAAAATCTTCTGCTGAATTCTTTACTTTCCTAAAATATTTAACCAGTGCTGAACTTTGAATATATGAGACCAACAAGTAAAGATAAGCTTTGTGGAAGGGACCAGTGAGGCTAGTAACCAGTGATGGAAAATTTCCTTCTGGCTTAAAGTTCTTTAACTTTAATTTTTTTTTCAATTTTAGTTGATACATTTCATTGCTAAATGGAGAAGCTTAATTGGAGATTTATGTTTGGGGTAAATTGATATATATGTATACAAATAAACCAAAATGGATAAATCAATCAAACTTTTCCCACTGTAGGTGGTAGACATGGGTAATGACAGCCCCCTGACAGACAGAGGGAGGAAGATCAGGAGTGTAAAGCCAGCTTGGGCCAGATGATACCATGTCAAGACGATAACAACTGATGCTTGGGAGCCCCTTTAAGTATACGGAGAGATCAAAGGTCATTAAGTCAATGCCCTACCCATGGAGGTGAGGGGTCACTCACCGGTGTGAAACTAATGGAGAAATTTCACTGCAAAGCATTTACCTACGTGTGAGTTGCTTAATTTCCTGTCCTCTAAAATTAGCATTGCTTCATTTACAATTTCTCTTACTTTGAAGTAAAAGATTGGCAGGTTTTCCAATGGCTGGCACACTTCACAAACGCCTTTGCTCTTAAGTTCTCCTCTTGTCTCACCTTATCCGCATATCATCTCTCACCCTTTCACACATTTGAGTTTAAGACCTTTGCCACAATTCTGGTGAACTTTGGTACTTGGCCCTCTCAACAACTTGAATCATGAGACAGATGGCAAAGGA